AGTGAAAGGTTTAATCTTATTTTGTCATTTATCTTTCAATACCTAACTGTAATTAAGAAGATAATTCTACGGGCTATCACTGGTAGTAATCAAGTTTTTAATTTACGCCTTTTATCGTAATCATACCGTTTATTACTGCACCAACTGTCAGGCGTTTCTATGACAATACTGTTGGTCACGCAATTTTGGGCATCGAAGCACTTTAAATTAAAATGAAATCTCCGTGTCCGTTGATAAGGTTCATATGATGGCGAAAAGAGCATAAGAGACGCGATAATGTGTGAACGGTGAACTGGGATTAAATCCCGTTGTATTTAGATAATTTTGAAAAAATGGCGGTCGGTATTTTTGAACTTTATCGCTGCTTTTCTCAACTGTCTAGCTGGTGTAACACTTGAGTGCAACTTTTTCCACTTTGAGGAAATTACTCTTCGCACAATTCAAAATTTACAAGCACTGTACCATATTATCTCCTGATATTACGCTAGGATTTTGACCAGGCCTGGTGAAACTTAACCTTCTACATTTTTTTTTCTTTCTTTCTTCTTTTTTTTTGGTATATCTTCCTATAGGGTCATTGTTAATTTTTATGTCATTCTCTTCAATATATTGCGGCATGGCTCAATAATACGGAGCTCCGACTCAATCTTAGCTACGGTATTTCCTCCGCTGTCCAGTTTACTACAAAAAGTCATTTTTTGAAACAGTTCTTGCTTCTCTCTTAAACTCCTGATTTTTCGGACAAACAGTGGATGAAGCGAAAAACATCTGGCGACTTAATTTTACACTTCCACAGCAATTAATCATGTTCGCAATATTTGAATTTACGGAAGTTTTTGTCAGATTTGAATTCTCTTGTAAACTTCCTTTCTCCTTTCTCCTTCCTTCTGTGGTTTGACTCATAAAGAGAGATTTTAATTACATTCGGCCGTAATTGCTTTTGCAGGCAAAACTCGATAGGCGTTTCTTGCACTGCAGGTTAAAGTTTATCAGTCAGTGTATTGCATAGATACTGCTGAAGATGTTTTAAACATCTTACTGTTTATGGAACCTCTCTTTTTTCCTAAGTGTCTCGTGTCAAACATTATACTAATTTGTAGAAAATACTTGCTCTAAAGATACATTCTTTGTAGGCTTTTTACCTTTTCATTAACTCAAAACGGTTTCTGTATTACGCCGGATAGTTAACGCGATTTTGCGGTAGTGAATGCAAATAAATGGGTCACCGTTCCGAAAAATTAGCAGCTTTTGATAAGTGTAAATATGTGGTCTTTTTACAATAACGAGAACTATTTTACTGAATCAAAAGAATTAATCGTGCACGTCTGTACCTTCACCAGCAAAATACATCATCAGCAAGTATACAGATTCTCCCTTTCCATACCCTGCCTCCTTCTTTAGTATTGATAGTCTTCCACTGGACTGTTTGAAAATTTAAAGCGAATTTAAAAAGCTGTTTCAGATGATAATTTTTTTTGGGTCCTTTGAAATTTTCTTTTATGCCGCCATAAACTGGTGCCAACGGATTGTTGAAATATGTCAAATTAATCCAATGTATTTTTCTTGGGCAATTAGCGGTACTAGTTTTTTCGCAGTAGATCAACAGTTGGCAATTTATAAGAGGGTCCATTTCCATGATAAAAATTGGCAAAATATCCATAATCTCAGGGCTGTTTTTCGGCTGGCTCAATACTTAGGTTATGTATCATATCATTCTCTTTCTCACAAATGAAATATGAAAGAATTGGAAATACTTGTAATAAAAGGGCCATGAATGTTAGTGGCCGTTTGTTTACCTTCACGCGTTGATTTTCATTACAACTCTAAGAAGCGAATTCGTCAAAATCAAACCTAACCCTTTAACACGAATGAGGGGGGTAGGGGTGGGGAGGGCCGTTTTTTTACCGGTTGGGGTGCCCTAAGGGGTCCCTGAATCGAAGTTTTACTGTAAAAGTAACAACTGTTCTACAATTATGATTCATTCAGTAGCTAGAATTAGTGGAATGCTCCCATCATGTGACCACTTGGTTCAACCTGCCTGTTCCCATTTTCAGCTGATCATGACTGAGATTCAAAAGCCATGATTTATAATTAGTTAGATTTACATGGCTCAGAATTCCTATACATTATAATTAGTTAGCTTTGTTATAATCTTATCATTGAATGCATAAATTTCAACAGTGAAGACTTCTGAACCTACACATGCGTCTGTATGGACAAAGTTGACCGTTTATTAATAGGCCTTAACAGTATATGCAACTTACATTTTACACTGAAACTTGTCTGTCTGTACGTAAACTAGCTTTGCACGACTTTGTTTGTGTCTTTTTGATTCTAGGTCCATTGGAAGTTCGATGATTTGATTGGCAGGGTAATTGTTGAACTATCGGGAAAAACGAGGCAATTCTTTCAAGCACCAAAGACAAGAAGATCAGATGATATGCCGCCGCAAATGCATGAGAGAGCTTATAAAAACGTAGGGAAGGTAAGTGCTTTGTCGTTTCTAACGCAAGCCTTAAACGGCCTTGTCAGTCCTTGATACTGGGTTGACTAAACTGTAGTGGAAAATATGGTACATGGGCTTATCTCACACACTTTTTATTAATACGTCTAATAAATTAAAAAGAATTAGGTGATGCCAAGAAATGGATTGTACACCTTTATCCAAGACTGTTGTAGCCGTATCTAAGAGTAATAATGTGAGAGTTGACGCGAATTTAAGAGTTGACTTAAAATAGACGTTGTCGAGATGTTATTCTGACAAGTAATAAAACACGCTTTTCTGATTATCAACAGAACAATTCCATGAGACTCTGATACGTCAGGCAGTAAAATAGCATCGTTTTTCGAGCAGCTTAAACTGCTGCCTTACAAGACCACGAAAAGATTAGCGCTTACAGGTTAGGGTATAATAAGAACAGAGAACGGCGGAATATTTTGTTTGACCGCTAAGATAATTGAAAACGGTTCTTGAATAAAATGCTTGCATGTTATCGAAAGAAAGGTTTTTTTGCTCTGTTAATTTGTCTCCCTCCAAAACAAAGTAAAATGAGAGAGTGGTTGAGTTATCTTTCGTTGTACGCGAATTAAAATAATCAGTTTCTTACCTTGTTTGATTCTATGTTGAAACAAACGTGTTTCCGTTTCGGTGTTTTGAATGGGCGTTTCTGAGATTCCGTTGCCACGATAGTTTGTTACCCTCGCTGCATGCTAAGATATCATTCCAACTCAC